CTCTCTCTCTCTCTCTCTCTCTCTCTCTCTCTCTCTCTCTCTCTCTCTCTCTCTCGCAATAGTAGGCAAGTTAAGCTCCTCAACTCGTGTTTTAGAGAGCATCACACACCCCACCAAAGATCCAATACAGTGTGTGCATTAGCGTTTTACACATGATATGCAAACGTCGGTTTATGTGTATGTGCTAGGGTCAATCGTTGCTAGTCCCTCTGCCGCACTGCAGGCCAGAATAGTCGGATGATACGAAACAGTTTCCCAAGCTATTTATACTCAACCCCTCCCCCCCTCCTATTTACCTTTCATCTCTCTCTCATCGGGTTTATTTATTCTCTCATCATCAGGCAACTTCTGCACGTAACTCCCTATTTCCATAATTTTTTCATGATCTCTCTTGCTCTCATCATCTCGGGGAATTCCCTGGAGTTACCTGAGCATAAATACAAGGTGAATGAGAGGTCAGCTCTTCACCCCCCTCCCCATGTCCCTCACCCTCTCACTTCGAAATGTTGAGAAGCAGTATTTAAAAAAAATCGTATATAACCCGGGCATTTAAATAGATACACAGAGTGCAGGCCTCGTGCACACACAAGTTTTCATCAGTTGTGTGGATTTTATATACGTCGAAAAGTCAGTGAGGAAATGGGTCTCGGTGTCTGGCTCGGTACCACTGCCCGAGAGAGGCGCTACCACCACCCCCTATTTCACCTTCTCCGCGAGTTGGTTTTTTTCCACGTTACCCCCCCCCCCCATTCCCTCACTCACTCCTTCGTCTTCCCAACCGCACACCGGGTTTCGAGGTGAACTCGTGCAACGTCGAAATTGACTTTGACTCCATTCAGATACCCCATTTCTTCTCTAACCACTCCACCTCCTTCCCCTACCGCCCCCCAACGCCGTCTCCCCCTTTTGATTTATTACCCTCTTTGTATCGCAAATGTACAAATGTACGCATTGCGCTTCCTCCGCTCCGTCTTTTTTCCTTATCTTTTTTTATTTGAGAAGGAAAACGAGAGGTTGGCGAATGATAAGGAGTGGGTGAGAGTGCGGTGGGACGGGTGGGGGATTCAGGATGGGGGGATGAAAAGAATGGACATGAAAATTTGAGGTTAATCGTACTGCAGATACATTGCGGCTTTGAGGTTCCTCCTAACCTCTTCCGCCACGTATTCCACCCCGTACAATCTCACCCCCTCGTTTTACGGTACGTGGCCGCAAATTTGTCGGTACTTTGTCCCTATTATCGTTTTCAACCGCCCCTCTCCTCTCTGCACACCGCAGGGTAGTTCCGTGTGAAACTGCGGTTCACAGCAAAAGGGTTGGGGGGGGGGGGGGAGGTAGAAGTGTGTATGAAGGAGTATGAGAGATTTCTCGTTATCAACAACGACCTATCCACCGGTTTGATGCACTGCTGGACATTATCAGCGATGGGAAGGGGTAGGATTTCGTAGAATTTTATCTAGTGATTTTCCAGTCATTTCACTCGATTGAGTGGATGTTCAATCGTGCGATTAAACGATTGAAGTGTTATGATTTTTCAAAAGAAAATACTTGATGTTTTGTTGTTTTTTATTTGGTATTTGGCATTTGCCAGGTGAAAGGTCAATTTCAAGCACATGTCGATATCAAATCACGTTGTTGTGCATTTGTTGTGCAATTTTATTCTGCCTATTATCCCTGTTTTCATTCGCTCTGGATTCATTCCTGCGTGACCTCGATAAAATGTTTTTTTTAAGGGTTGAATAGAAATTG